TGAAATTTCCGAGTGTGACCAAATCGCGGGTAAATTCAAATTATAGCGAAATACTCAAAGTCCAGCAAAACAATCGGACGCATAGCATTAAGCAGATTCAACACTTTATCGGTTATCTTCTAGAGTTGCTGGCGTTAGCGGGACCTAAGGACGGGATCACTTAATGAGAACACCGTCTTGGGACAACCTCCCCTCTTTTCGTCAATTTATATAGGTATCTCGTCCGTATTCCTGACTCTTTCTTCTACCAAGGGTTTTCTCAACTTTCCCTATTCCATCTCGATGGCGCTTAGAACATGTGTCCAAATTCAATCCTCCGGTAAGAGCATTCCATGCTGTCGAAGCCACTTTTGCACAGAGGTGGTGCGAGGGCCTCGGTCGATCTATTGCTGGACGACGAAATTAGTAGCGTTATGGGTCAATCAGCTAAACTACCACCATTACAATATAGGAGACGAGCACTTTTCCCAGGCAGCTTCTCAACTCTCTTACTTTAAGATTCCGGCGTTTGCTTTGAAAAGAAGCGATTGATCCCATTTTCGAGTTGACCTCAGTCATCGGATTTTTTATCTTCTAGATGACGCTTCAGGGCACTAATTATCTGAAAATTAGAAGCGGCTAAGCCCGGCGAGTAAGCCAAGTACTGCGAAATTTCCCAATCAAAATCCATGATCTTTTGATATGTAATCCTTTGTCACATGTAGATATGCGTGGGGTAGGGTAACACAATGTTGTGCATTTCTGGGTGAACTTTACGCATGGCTTCGGCCAAATTTCAAAGGTAGTAGGAGCCGACAATGGTCATCACTGCAGTGCAAATATCCAGCAGCTTCCTGTGAGAGCTCATGTGTGCAGTTTCCTGGAAGCTTGATCTATCTTTTTTGATCTTCATTTTTATCAAGAAAATCCATCGGCGCGAAGAATGGTTGGTGGATGGTGACATTTGCCTTCAGGTTACCACGCATGCCTAGTGTCGTCGTCGCCACACATTAGAATTACCGCTGCGCTACAGATGACGTTGAAGGTTTTCGAAGATGTCCACTCCAGGCCTGCACAGGCCCACTCCATTTCCTTTCAACTCGCAGTGGGGCAATTTCACAGTCCTCGAGAAGTGGTAAATGCTGATGTTTAGAGCTAGATTCTAGAGGGAATTGCGTATCCAATCGTATGGCAACCGCGCGGTACTGAGCTTGTTTTCTAACAAAAAAATGGCTCGAATCAGCCCAACCCCACTATTAAAAATGGCTTGGAAGGCATGGCATGCATTTAACGTGGGGTCAATTCGGACGCATGTTCTCAGTGCCATCGAGAAACTATGGAGAAAGTTGAGAAAAACTTTAGTAGAAAAATCAGTCAGGGATATGGACGAAAGGCTCATCAAGTTTGAAGAAAACAGGGGAAGTCGTCTCAGTAGACAGCGAACTCATCAAGTGATCCCGTGCTTGGGTCCCGTTAACGTTTCAGCGATTCTGGAAAGTTATCAACAAAGTGTTGAATCTGGTTAATGTTATGGGCCATGCCGTAGATTGCTCCGTTAGAACATAACTAATTTACAACAATTTGAAATTTAGTTGCAAACTGGTCCACTCGAAAATCTCAGGATTATTAATTTTCCCTCCTTCCCTCTTCCGCCTTTCAACACAAATATGCTGATATTGTTAGGAGGGCTCGTCTTCAAAACATTCAACTTTAACTAATTTGATCCAGCAGGAAAAGTTCACGGCCGGAAAGGCGTTTGGCCAAATACTTTTGAGCGCCCTGCAAGCTCGAAAGATAGCAATTGATGTGCTTATGTCAAAAAAGATCGCCCAAAAATATGGTATTCCTGTCTCATGGTGAAGCGCTGCTGAAAGAAAAGTGGCATTTTTGGCCATTTTTTCCTTTTTTTTTCGGGTCACTCCCCACTGCCAACCAACGCTCTTACGCACATCTAGAGATTCCGATGTGACCCAGGGATAAACGCGCTGGAACTGCACTCTTCAAAAGTACATACAGTGGAATTCGTTTATTCACATCAAATCATTAGGGGAGCCGTATCAAGATCCCGATATTAAAGCAGTGTGCACTATTGCGACCAAGTCCTCGACACGATTTCCATCCAGCGCTGGCGTGCATACGCGTCAGGGTGCAGCGCTCTATTGAGAAACAGTTTCGTTATCGTGTGATTCTACGATTCCATGGCCTCACTGCCTAAATCTGGTCAGTGCTTCAGTTCATCCGAAGAGGAGTGAATTCTGGCTTAACGTTCCATCGACAAAACTCATTCTGAGGCCCACTTTACCCGAGCGCAACACGTCGGACCTTTGTCCGACTATGGAGTGAAGTGAGCTTAAATGCCTGCTTTGTGGAGGTCAATTCATTACTGAGCCAAAAAGGTGTTCGCAAATAATCTCCTGAGCATGAGTAGCGCAAATCCGTAACGAGCATGAGCATGAAAAAATTGTAGTTTGAAAAGTCCAGGTCAATCGATGCCGAGATCTGCGCGTAGCAGTCACAAAATGCAAGCCTATAAATATCAAAAACGAGAAGCTCTCTTATATTTGCAAAAAAAGGACAGAGCTGAAAATTACGGAGAGTTCAGCAAAACCCCATGAGTGGAGTACATACGGAGACCGATGGAAAATTCTTCAAAAGTTTCAATGGATGATCATTTTTCGTCTAAAAGACCTCCCACTACTTAGTAGGATCTCAGTACAAGTAGAAGAGCAGAAATAAGCAGAAATAACGCCCACCGAATCGAACATGCATGAGCTAGGTGGTAAAGTGATCCGGAATATCTGTCACTTCTCGCTCTTCGTTCGGTTTCGAGAAATCTTAAGGCACATACTACCCAAAGTGGAATTTCAAAGAAAGTTGACGATGAATAGACTTTGAAATGAGTGGATTTGAAAACAAGGCGATAGATATATCGGCTCATGGTCTAAATCATGTAAAAGTCTGACGCCGAGCCTTTTGTTGGAATTTGTATTGGGCGAAGATGGGTCAGCCAAACTTCCATATTTAAATACAGTCGGTTTTCCATCTTGGGAAGGGTTGATGCTCATATCTTCCTCAAAGGCCCAGTCCACTACCGCGAGAGCGAAACAGCGCCACTCCGGGTCAGTTATAATCAGCAACTAACCCGGAGTGGCGCTGTTCCGCTCTCGCGGTGGTGGACTGGGCCTTTGAGGAAGACGATCTCGTCGAAACGTCAGGCCACTAATAAAATTCTCCACCTAACAACCTCGTTGGCAGAAGAATAACATCATAATAACAACAATGCCGAGGTTCTACGAAGAGAGAAGTTGGAGTTCGCTGAACAACCGCTATATAATCCCTCCGTTGGCGTGCTTCGAATAACACTTATTGCTGGCTGACTCTCCAGTTCAAAATAAACGTTTTCCGAAACATGAGATTTAAAAGAACCAGGGAGCGGATACGGGAGCAGTCGTGGCAAACAAAACGACTAGAACTTAAAGGAAGCGATTACGATAAGGAATTTTCGCATCGGGGGAGAACCTGCGCCACACGGAGCAATTACTTGGCTGCCAAGGAAGCGATGTGTGGCCCTCCACGGCGAAAGGTGCTGTGGTTGCTGAGCAGGACCGCGTGACGCCCCTAGTGACGTAAGGCATTGTTCATAGTTTTGGAACCATCGGAATATTCGAATCTGCGAAAAGAAAAAGATACGTATCGACCAGGTGAATCCGCGCACGCGCGAACGCGGATGCGAAAAGGTTTAGATGCGTATCGACGTAGTAAACCACGCCCAATTAGCGTTGCTGGAGGATTTTCGCGTCGAGGCATCGAAAGCGCGAAACGCAGGGCAACGCCCAACTAGCGAAAAGGTTTAGACGCATATTGATCGCGCACATCGAAACAGTGGGAGGTCTCTGCGACGGTGGTGAACATTGCTCAAACGGAATTCAAACAATACACAGGAAAACGTTCAAATTTGTGGTTTCTTCGTAAACTTCATAGGTAATTCCATTCTGTTGTTAACAGTGTTCACATAATGTTGTTAATTTCGTAGATGGTTATATTCGGCTGTAGATGATGACTGTTCATGCGCACCATAACATAGGCAACGTTGTTGGTTGCTTTGCGCAGTCTTCATTTGCGCTTTTACACCTAATCGGAGCACCCTTTCGTACAGAAAATAGACAAAGTTCGATAATTTCACCGGGTATGAACTGTTCCATCACACGCTCCATCCCCTCTTCTTAGCTTGATGTGGCTCTTTTTTTTAAAACTTCACACAGGATAGTTTAAAGGAGCGCTAATTATCAATACGCTGGCATTCCGGCACGGATCTTCGAATTGTGAACAGTCGGAGGAAATAGGTGGCAAACATCGGTGACACTAAAACCACCGTGATATTCATGGCAAGGCATCGTACAACGTTTTAAACACATGTTTACAGAAATCGTTAGGTAGTAGGAATGAATGGGTTTGACGAAAACTACACCCTATTGAGTGCACTTGTACCCCCTCAAGATCGTTCGGAAATTCTCTGAGTTGAAGGACCATAGCACCTGTGTACTGATTTTTTCACACTTTGTTATTTGTCATTTCACTCACAGAAACTTCACAATGGCAAGGCAGAAACATTTGAGTAAGAGGCGAAACGAACCACCCCTTATTCTTTACTCAACAATTTAATTGTTAGTTATTTGGTTGTGCTGGTGTTTACTGATCATCGAGGGAAACCCGGGGTCAGTTAAACATCAGCTCCGTCCTACGGGTTATATTTTGCCTGATATTGCACTATATTTCGAGGCGATTGCCTCCTTATCACCAGTGGTGATTGTCTGGACCAGTGGTCCCTCTTTTGCGTCAGTGACGCTCTTATTTTTCTAAACACTATACTTTATTCATGCAACTTACTAATTCAACATCTTTTTTCTACTTAACTTCTTTATCATTAGTAAAGCTAAAACATTAACATTTTTATATTAACTTCAATTTTTTCTTCATATTAAAACATTCCTTTCTGTATTTTTTCCTTTGACTACACTTCCTTATTCTTCATTTGGAGTAGCAACTTCTTCACAACGTGGCATTTTTTGCATATTTGTTTCTAAGCCATCACCATCACGCTTCCGCTTGTTTCGCTGCTCCTTAAAAATTGCATCAATTAATTACTTACTATATTGCTGAATATTCAACTGTTTTATACCTCAGTGACTGGACCTTCATCTTTCTTAGGATCGCTATTATTCACATCAGCATGTTCGACGACTTCCTCCACTTCATTATTACCGAATAACGTCTCCAATGTTATTGATTTCCATTTGAGTAAGTCCTGCCTATAAAACAGGTCAGTTTAACACACTATCTCTTTGAGTTAGCATTACTAATCCCACAATTTACTTGCTAATACTTACATCATAATCTGATTTCTCTTCATCAGACAACATAGTCTTAATCGCGGCTCCTTTCCAATCTGAGAAGTCCCATCCTAGCATGATTGCCATAGTGGTGGCCTTATACTTCTACAAAACATGACCACTAGTTTCTAACTAGCATATGACTTTGGTTACTTATAAAGGGAGCTAACCATACATTACTCACCTTCGTATTTTTCTTGAAATCTTTCAAGGTTATCATTCCGTTCTTCACTAAAACTTCTGATATGCTGGTTTTGTTGGTCTCAGTATACTTCACTATTTTCCTACGCAAATAGAGGCCGCAAATACACATTAATTTATATATCACATACATTCCAAATTAATAATTTTACCTTAGATTCTCAGCATCGCTCAATTTTAGAGTTTGGTCGCGTACTACCTTTACAGCACAATGATTCGATTTATTGTACTCTAATAAATTCCTTCTTCCTGTCTCCACAAAAAAGTCCCAAAAACTGGAGCTCATTTCTGCCTGAAAAACTTATTTTTAATATTTCTTTCCCTAAGACATATGTGTTGTTCTCAGCTCACTCTAAAATTCGAGGTTCCTTTGAAACTGCCCGCTGGTTTCGCCCAGCCTAGAGGATTGGAGTCCTTTTCGTTCTTGTATCTAAATCAAAACTAACGCATTTCTCATCATACGTAAATAATTCAATTGTCAACTTACCTTACTATTTCGTTCAAAAATTTTTTCACTAGTTCCTTTGTCGGAAGCTTCTCAGAATTTGGTATAAACAACACTCTAAGATTCTTTGATAAAACGCATCTGTTCACGAACTCTTGGTGAGCGACTGCCCTTTTATCCACATCAATGTTAGCAACATCGAATCCTGGTCTCTGTAATATAGTACAATAGTTTATTTTATTAGTACACTACCTGCTATACTTCAATAAGTAACATAATAACATATAAACACTCACAGTCGACATCCTGAAACACCAGTAACAATTTATGCACAGGTATCTTAGCAATTCCCCCAAAAAATAATTGGGATTTTTTCTGTATTATACGGTATCTTCACAGGACCACTCATAAATTACGGTATTTATTGATTGAATAACCCAATTAATGTTACACATTTACATTTATCATTATTAACATGTCCTTCCCTTTAATTCTTTTTCAAACCTTTATTTCTTTGAAATTTATAAATACATATGTATAGATTTATAATCTTATTTATTTACAACCTTTGTTTTTCCACAGCTTTCTTATTGGGTCCCGCGCGTTTTTTCTTTTTTTTTTTTGTTTGCTGCTTGTAGGATTAAGACACAATCCTATATCATTGCAATAACTCATTCAAGAGGGCCATACCTCTTAATAAAAATAGGGGTTGGCGCTGATGGGGTTTATAAAAGTCAAAAATGGCAACAGGGGGTCAATTTTTGGCGCCTCCAGCGCTAGCCGTTCCTACGGGAACACGCAGGGATCACCTAGCCCTGGGCAGCAGCCCTGCCAAACCTTCGGGAAGACCCTTTCCTGTATATGGGTTTGACCGCCCATATACTTGGATCCCTGGTCAAAAACAAACCATTTCAACGCTCTTAACTATTATCGCTGCTCAAATTTCATTAAGGTAAGGGGCGGTACCAATAAATACATCCTCCAAAACTTTGGTAATAATAACAAAGGTTGTAAATGCAATAAAAATTGTAGAACGTGCAATGTTACTAGATGCGAAAACTACATAGTTTCACATGTCACAGGATTGCAAATAAATACATATAAAGATAAAGATACTAACTGTAACTCTAAAAATGTTATCTATTGTTTAACCTGTAACAACTGTGGATACAATATGTAGGTATGACAATAAGAAAACTTAAAGAAAGAATCGGGGAACACATTACAAATATAGCCACACATAAAATTCACACTCCTCTATACAATCACTTTCTATAAATGTGACAAAGGAATTACTGTAACAATACTGGATTCGAGCAGTACAAATGATAAAGCTACATTACTTGAAAAAGAACTTTTCTGGATTAAACTATTAATGACACCTATCCCCTTTGGTTTGAATGATAATATCAAAGGGTATGGTAATATTACTAATATAGAAAATCCAATCCTACACAATATCAAACCACCATATTTTGCGTTGAAAATAACTAAAGAACGATATAACAGAGGAACTAAAACTAAGAAAAATAAAATAAGCAATGCAGAAAAAGTGTTAGAATATTAACTATAGTGAAGGAAACATATCCCCTATACAATATTATAGACTATTAAAAAGTCTAAACAAAAAAGATATTCTTAAACTCATCAGGTGGTCATATGACAGTAATTTCTTGGAGAATGTTAACAGTAAGAAAAAATTTTTGATATTCTGTATATTGGCACATCTGCATTATAACACAGCAGATACTCAGAAAAATAAAGAAGTTAAGAAATATCACAACGTTGTTATACAGTTTCCCAGCAATGTCTTAAACTACATACATTTTAACAAAATATTCAATTCAGGTTACATCAAACGACTGATTTTACATAATGCTAATAATTCGACTTACACTCCAATCAGAGTTATTTACAAATACTGCAACACGGTCAGTGAAAGAGTATACAATTACAATAAAATATTGAAAGATCTGGACATACCAAAGATTAAAAGTATTATTGAAAACAAATGTATATGTAGTAGCCATTTCAGTGAATACATAAATGAAATATATGGTCATGTTATTACAGGAGATCTCAACATAATCAAGGAACCTGGCCTCAGAAATATCCTTAATAAAGGAACTAAGTATAGGATTGATCCAGGCATAACTAGAAGTAATGTTAGAAAAATGTATTTTGGTATTATAAGTCAAGTTGTTACCTTTTTTAAAACTAAATATAAGGTTAATAACAATATGTGTAACGATATAAAAAGGTACCTCATTAACAATTATTATACTAAAGTCAAAACGCTTCTTACACACAAAAACTTGATTGGCAACAAGGAATACATTCCTCAAGATACTTTAAAGTATTATCAAAATAATTTTATATTTTGCCCTCTAGACAAAGCTAGCAATAATTATGGCATTATTTGTAAAAAATTATATATTCTTATAATGATGGAAGAAATGGGACTTGTTTACAATGCTAACACAAAAGACATCCAATATACTGAAACTAATAACATTTACGAACGTATACATTGTAGTAACAGATACAGTCTTATTCTTAATCATAAATTCTTATGCATACGTAATAAAATTAGAACTATACCAGACGCAGATTTACCGATAATTTATGCTATTCCTAAGTTACATAAAAACCCTATCAAATTTAGATTTATTACAGGTGCACATAATAGTAGCATAAAACCTCTAGCACAGAACTACAAATTATTTTCACGCACATTAAAAAACATTTTATTAATTATGTCAAATAATACAAAACAGAAATGGAACAATAAAAACATATTGGTCTATAAATAATATTAATATAAGTCAAGAACTTAGCAATATACAAGGAAATAATCTTAAAGTTTACTCAGCTGATTTCACTGATATGTTCACTAACTTAGAACATAACTTAATTATTAGTAATATGAATAAAATACTTAATCTTTGCTTTAAAAACTCAAGTAAACACCTTATAACGACAAATGGTTACATTGTTTATTATACAGATGGAAAAGTTAAAAATAATGGGTATAGATACTATAATATTTTTGACCTCCTTTATTACACTGAATATTTATTGAATAATAGTTATTGCTTATTTGGACCCACTATCTTTAAACAAAATAAAGGAGTTCCACAAGGAGGTAATTTCAGTCCACTGTTAGCAGATCTTACCCTATCTTATTTAGAATATGAGTTACTGCAAAAACATTAAATATAATAAAAATAAATTATTTATACCCTACAGATATATGGATGATCTTTTAGTTATACATAACCAATCAGAAGAAAAAATTGATAATTTTCTCGAAAATGTTTACAATGGTATTACTTGAACTGAAAAAGACTCATGTTTCGGAAGATAATTGTAATTATTTAGATCTCAATATTAATATACATAATAATAGAATTATCACTAAATTATATAATAAAACGGATGACTTTTAGTTTCAAAGTTAATAGATTTCCACATATGGACTCAATATCTCAAATAACAATAAAGCCTCAGTTATTTACACAGAAACACTTAGAATTGCAAACACTTGTAGCACCTTTGACAACTTTAATATAAAACTCATTGAGATGATAGACATCCTTCTTCATAATGGTTATAACAGAGAGTTCATATTAGCCAGTGTTGTACAATGTGTATATCGCAACAAGTTCATCAGTTATAAGTTTGCTCTTGATAATGATATTAAGGCTATCTCCGTATTGGTTGATAATATTGTTAATAATTAGCCTTTATCAACATTATTGTTTCTTGTTCTGTTTAGCTTAAGCTATATAATTTTTTCTGTTATATCTTTTAACATATTAGTTATGTTAGTCTACCGGCCTTTATTCTTTTTCCAATGGTATTCTTATATTCCTCTACACACTGCTATTCTAGTTACGATCAGCCCTATTTCCACCCTTTACATTGTGCACATATCAA